TAACATCAACTGCTCTGCCCCTGTCCATCAGAAGATAAAGCTGAGAACAGAACTATGTCTGAGGAGATGGATGAACACTTTGCGTGCAGGCAAGTGAGCCAGCAAGGAGTTCATGCCACATGCCTGCAGGGCTGGCCTGGCACACAAGACTGGCAGAGGAAGCCCCCCTGCACCTTCCTACCCACTGGCCTATCCCTGTGTCTCAGGTGGAACAACATCCTTGTCAACAGGGTCCTCTGCTGTGTGGATGAGGCTAAGCAAGGGCTGACCACATAAGGAAATGGGGACCAAAACCCAAGGGATGAGGTGTTTACTCACTTGCCTAGCAGACATAAACTGCCTTCATTGTGGTTTAACTTGAGCAATCAACCAAGATGCTGAGTGACAGCATAAATACATTGCTCTGAAATAATATATCCAGCCCCTTTGGCTTCTCCCAGCTGTTCCTTATCCATGGAACAACACCCATGCACCTCACTTGAATTCACACACCTTTTAACATTACAGCTTCACCATGAATCCCAAAAGACATTGTCTTAACCCAGGCTGGCCCATAGTCCTTGCATTTATTCAGAAACATCTATCCAACTGACCCCATGGGCACTTGGTGTTGTAGGAACTTCAGCAGTGGCATCTGAGCCCTAGCTCTACATCCTTCCTCTGCCCTATACAGAAACCAGCCACGGGAAGCAGATGCTGGGCCGGCCCACCAACAGTCCTGCCATACCAGCAGCTCTCTGGAGACAGAAGAACTGCAGAGTCTTTCAGTCCACACGTTGGAAGTGAGATGTAATCTGCATCCAATAGATACTTCTCACAACCTATAGACTAACACACTGTCAACTTGAATGGCCATTAAATGGCCTTTCTTGCTGTTCTGCTTAGCTTCTTCCTCTGCTGTGCCCGGGAACATTATGACAACAGCAGTGGCAATGCGCCTGGGCTGGCAGATGGCCAGGGCATCACTGCTGTTTCTGTGCTGCTGTACTCGACAGGTTGGAACTCGAGCCAAAGGAACTGCGACCTGTGGATGAGTCCACACTGTTGTTCTTCTAATTCTCTCTCCCATCCTGGCAAAGGGGAGTGAGCAAGAATCTGTGTGGTGCTTAGTTGCTGTCTGGGGTTAAACCACACCACCAGCACAGGTAAATAGAAGATATAGACACCCACTTCATAAAAAAACACAGTTCTGTTCAAGCTCTAGGCTTGAACTTGAGGTTAAAGACCAACCAACCAGCCCGCAATGTCTTTCTTGGTCCTCAAAGTATTTGAAACAAAGAGAGGAGTCCAGCGTTAATAAAGCCCCACCACTACTAGCCGAGACAAGGCTAGTAACAATGTTCTCACACATGTGAAAAATCATCATGCTCATAAGCTTTTGCACAAGAGGAAATTCAACCCTGCAGAATTCTTGTCCCCATCTCTTTGCTGCCTTCATCTCAACTATGGGAAAGAGCTCTGGAAAGATTTTCAGCCATTCAGCAACTCCATTTATTTACCCAGTTCCTCTGGTCAAACAGGGCTGCTGTGAACAAGTGTGGCTGGTGGCCACTTTTACCTCTTTTTGCCAGTGTAGAACAGGAAACAGCTCCTTCTCTTAACAAACCACACAGAGTGGTGCAGGTAGGTTTCTTTGAACACTTCAGCTTACTTGAATTGCTTTAGACTCACATCTCTTCTCTACCAGCTCTAATCCCTCCTTCTTTTGTAATCAGCAGTACTACCCATTTTCATGATGATACAGAGATTAATATATAAACAGTAAACTAAAAAAAAAAACCAAACTTTATACTTTTCTCTGTGTCATAGTCATAGGCAAAGCTACCTATTTACCTTCTGCTGCCCCAACTCTAACTGCTCTCATGTACTTGTTCTGTAAAGCAACTTTGGGAGCCTCCTTCCACCCTCATCATATTTCTTCTGAATTCAGTTAGGCTGGAATATGGAGCTTTTACAGGCACAAAGAGCAAAGGGAAAAAAAAACAACTATTTAAGCACTGCTTCCCCTGCTTTTGTCAGCAAAGGTCAGATGGAAAACAGGAAAGAAAAAAAGAAACAGACAAAAAGCAAGTAAAGAAAATTTTCAAGCTCAGCAGTAATGCCAAAAATTAGCAGCAGCGACAGCTATGATTGCAGCAAACTCTTCAGTTCATAGGATTTAGTGAACTACACAGGTTCTTTTACAAGTGTGGGAATCAAAGGATGCAGTGAAAATAGAAGTAATCATAGAAACAGGTCTCTCTCGGCCTTTCCTGTAGATTAAGAATAGATATGAAAATGTATCTGTCTACAGTATTTGAAATGATTGGGAAAGAAATTTAGGAACTTGGCTGAAATGTCTCAAGGGAGACCATTCACTGACTCTTTCTGCATAAGAAACATCACGGATGTTAAAAAAAAGTGCTAAGGTCAAAGATCATACCCTTAACTTTGCTAAGTTACTTTTGACCTCTTGGGAAGCAGCTTGAAAGTAGTTTGAAAGATGAGTTATTAGGCTCTGCCAAGCAGTAACAGAGGTAAGACAAAGCTGTTCAGCTTAGAAAAGCTAAAACAAATTTGAAAACAGCATCTTTAACACACAGGTACACACATCTGATGCTTGCACTAGTTCAGCCTTCCACAAATTACAGCACCCAAGGTGGGACTGCTACTACAGTGAGGGGGAACAGTGAAGAAGAAATCACTACATAGCATAAGGGTAAACAAACAAAACAACTAACCAACCAAAAAATTATCCATCCTTTAGAAACAACTATTATTGAAATCACATATTTTTAGATTTTGTAGTGATTTATTCCAGAGCCTTGGGAAAATTTGTCTTAAATCTTCAGGAAGTATATAAATTTAATGCTTAAGCCACAGTTTAAGGTAAGTATGTGTCACGTTACTTCAGTAATAGCCCTAATCTGAAGGGACAGTCAATGCCAAAGGTAATAAACTGAACAAGAGCAGAATAAACTTCAGATTTACCAGCATAGCATTAAAGAGTTAGCAGAAATCAGTCTGAGGCTTTTTATTATCACAACACAGTTCTTAACATTCACAAACTTAAGATGAGAGAGAAGCAGCTAGAAAACAAACCAGGCTGACACACTGCTGGCAGGCAGGCACTGTCACTGGTGTCACTTCTTTGGCTTTGAGCTCTTGCCTCCCTCCTTCAGGCCAGCACAACTGCAAAGGCTCTGCTTGATGCTCTTTGCTCAGTGCCAACATGGGACAATAGTATTTTTTTCTTCAGTGGAGAGACAAGCTAAGAAAAATGTCACCCTTGCTGGGCAAAATATTTATTCTTGGCAAGAGGTCAGTCAGAAAATGCTCAAAGTAGTCTTCATGACGATGAGGAACCACTACTTTTCTCCTGTAACCACGGGGTGATTCCACTCATCATTACCACTAACAGCAGTCTGTAGTCTAAGCACAGCAGCGCAGGGATGGGGCTGCTATTGCCAAACTGTGCCATGGCTATGAAAGTCAAACATTACTGAAGGATCCAGAGGTACAGAAGCAGCCAGAAATTGTAGCTGCACACACCTACTGTGCATTACTTGTGTACTTTTGACACTACCAGTTCACACCATGTTTGCCAGTTACTTCCAAGCTTGGCTACAGTGAATCCAATTACTAGCAGGGGTTTTCTCCTGGAATAAGGCACTACAGCATAGGAGCGCTTGAACAGGACTTGAAAGATTTTACAGCTCTTGACAGATTACCTATGGCTTTTCTAAAGCAGGCATAAAAAGAAGCACTTTAAGATAAATAAGAGGGTGGGGAGGTAAGGAGACGGTACTAAATGAAACTGTGATTTTAAAAAATCTTCAGGCAAGAGGCTTGATCTTACCTTTTAATCTTTTCACTTGTGCTTACTTATCAGGATACAGTTGGAAAAAAGAAAGGGTTGTCTTTGCAGTGAAAGCTGGTGGACTGTATAAAACAAAGTCACTGGTTTATGTTTGTTACTTCACTGCCAGGCTTCCACTCAGGTCAGTTTTTCCTCAGAGCAGCTGGTTGAAACAAGCTTCAACTCCAGCACTCAGGATTTCCTCTTTACACTGCTGTCATCACCAAAAGGGAACCCCCCTTTCTTCTCAACACACCCCAGTCCCATTTTTGTCTCCACACAGCTATCATATAACTTTACACCCTTGCACCAAAAAAAATTTAAAATAAAAAAATAAAAGATTCTTAGCTCTCTTGGGCCTCTGCTTCTGTAACTCTTTATTTCAACACGTTTTGTGAATCTGAAACAATGTATTGGAAAGCCAGACTTCAGACATAACAAGTAAGGAATATACCAATTAATTTAGGCATTACTTTTACATGTAGATATAGAGGTAAAAAAAATAAATTGTCTTGATAAGAAATATTGTGAACCCTGATGAAGAAACAAGTCTCTAGGAGCTGCATAATACAGTAAAACGCACTGGCTGTGTAGCTGACACCAGGATAGCTGACTGCTTGTTTTCAGAATTTAAAAAAAAGAAACACCCTAAGGACAGACCATTCTACCTCAGAAATAAACTTGATTCTTTGCTGGAGATTGCAAAATGTTGTTGAAGAGACTCCACGCTGCCGCTTGTCTTTACGTGAACTTTCTTTCCCGTTCTCGTGCGGTCACAAAGTTAAGCATGTCGATGGCTGTAACGATGCCAAACACCATTTGCCGCTTACTGGAGGAACCGTCAGTGTGATCTGCACAGAAACAAAGAGCGGATTCTGGCTTTAGGAAGCACAAAACCACAAACATCCCACTTGACTTTAATGGCACTGTTTGTAAAGGCATGTGCCAAGTCATCGCAGCTCCACGTGTCAGGGCCTGTTGGTGGAGATGGTCATCACTGATGACCCTTGTACATAGAGGGGGAACCCTTGATGGGCATCTTGACCAACAGTCACACAAAGTGGCAAGGATTTTTATTTCAGAAAGCCTCCTCAACAAAAAAGGCTATAGAAACTGAAACTGATTATGGGAGGAAGGATAAGGGTTAATCAGATTTATTTTTCTTGACATGAAAATTCAGACCAAATCCTTATTAAATATATTTTCCTCATACATTAGTTTCTGTGGCTCTACTTGATACAGCTGCAAACTGATATTATCCTATTTGAACCAGGGGCCACTAGCTGAGGACATGTAACTTTACCATCTATCTTCCTACACCACTGCCAAATACAGAATTAGTATAAAAATCACAACACAACATTTTTTATTTATATTCAAATGACTTATTAACCATCTAATCATTGCTGCATTGAAAGTGCAGGTTCAAGTGATATTTCATTGTAAGCATAAGCCTTTGACCTGGGAACCAAATGGCTAAGTGACCTTCATCTGTAGTTTAAATTCCTGGTTCCTAAGTCTTACTGTACTGAGATGTTTAGCCTACTTGTATCCTCAACTGTTCAGCCAGCTGGATCATCCTGGACTTTTCAGTTATTCAATCTTTGTTCCACAGCAAGCTTTCAGGGAGATTCTAGGTTTATGAATAGCTAGCCAGCACATAGTCAAGAACACATCTTTATGGAGATTATCAGGAACAAGCCCAAATTTCATGACTGTTCTTCATTTACAGTTATCATTGAGACAGCTGTCAGACAAATTTATCTGGTGAGTCTTAATACTGGTTTTACTCTAGTTTCTCAGTGGTTTTTATTTTGCAAGTTGCCCACTATAAAGAAGATAAACCAGGGAAAAATATTGTTCACATGTAACAGTGATATACCCTAGCTTTGAATATTTATTTAGTCATTCCTAGTTTATGAAGAAGGCAGTGTAAAGAGTTTCAAGAAGGCTGAAGAAAAGTAGAGTTTGGAGGAAAAACAAAGTAAAGCGGAGTAAGTTAGTTTAAACAAAATAAACAGGAATAAGAAATATTAAACTGTCTTGCAATGGTGATGTCAGTATTGACATCCAGATCTTATCAAGCTTTATGAAGTTGTAATAAAGGTTTTGCTTTAGAAAGGCAAAAAAAAAAAATGTAGTTAACCGGGGACACTCAGTGTGGTGGAACTGCTGGAAGTTGTATGACAGGAGTAGGAAGAAGCAAATCTCAGTTGTACTGCAGGAACTCATTCACTGGCTTACTGCTACTAACAAAGCAGTGGACCAGACTCAGACATTCAGTTTTGAGCAGTAACTTGCTCCAAAAGCAGGTACATTACAGGATGTCAGGTTATTAATGGATTTAACATTTACTCTGCAAGAAGTGTTAGTAGCACATACTTCCATACACAGAAAGAGAATTCAGCTTCTTCAAAACTTGGTTACACCTTCACAATTGTACTTGTTTTTGTTACTACTCAAAGATTCTCTCTTACAAGCCACAGAACATCATACTCACATTGAATTTGTTCATGAACCACTAGAGCAAAGTGGTCAATTTCCAGGATATGAGAGAGTTTCCCCAAGCTGTCTTTCAGGTTAATCTGAGGAGAGAGTTACAAAACTTAAACTAAACACTCCTTTATATATAAGGTATATCCCCATATACTACATGCAGTATTAAAACAATACATCAGCATTATATACTGTTCCCATCTGAAGTATTGTAAAACACTAACAAATGAAGGCCAACTTAAAAGACCAGTTTTCTCTGGTTTTGATTTCAAGAATACAGAACAAAAAATGAAGCACTACATGAAGTTTGTCATTCTGGTTCTGTAAACATAATGAATATACTGAACATACCGAACATCTGAAAAATGTTAATGATGGGAGAAGGTCAAGTGTTGCATGTGTCTCACAAAAGAAGTTACCATAAAACTCATTATACTTGGCAATTCTACTCTAGCAAGACTGGGAAAAAGTCAATTAATATGTCAATCAATCATTGTGGAAGTGAATATGATCTGCAAAGGAGGCAGGGGAAAAACAAAGGAGGCAGGGGAAAAACCCAAACAAGTCAAAACTAAGGGTAAATATTGCTCAGCTAACACTGTATTCGGGTGCAAAGCAAGGAACTGGGAATTAAAAATTCATTTTTAGTGAAGTTTGACATTGCTAAGACTATATTGACTCTACAGAAAGAATACAGATCCTTCTGAAATACTTAACTAATAATCCCCTGCTGGAATCATTTGAAAAAATGCATAAAACTCTTTTTCCTATATGCTTTAATGTATTAAGCAGCAGCAACAGGCCCGTTATCCAGGTGACTCTCCCAGGTAACAGCAGCACCCACCATCTGACATACTTTCAATAAAGGGGATTAAAGGAATTTACAGCAAAGTCTTGCACTGCAGATTATAAAGCCTTTATCCTTCAGTGAGCTCAGCTTGTAATTGAGGAATAAATGCCACAGCATAAACAGTTGGGCTGCACTGGAACACAGAGCTCTCATCAACGGACTGTAAGTTAGAAGAGATCAAAAGGATCCCCAGTAGACTGTGTTTAAGGGACCAGCAGGCTACAGTGCATACTGAATCACCGATCCTTAAACTTGTGGACGAGGTAATGGTGGAGGGAAATCTGGACCTACTGCTGCATTGAATCAACTGTCAATCACCACCACTGACAGACAAGCAGTTTTGTGTGCAAACGTGCATGCAAAGCCTAACTTTCAAACCCAAGTTCAAAGCTCACTGAAGGGGTAGAGCCCCTTGCCATCTGATTGTGTAAAATCAATAGACCCATCTTCAGGGACTGGGTAGGCTAAAGATAACCAGGACAAGGAGGCCACAGGCAGCACTGGAACAACTATGAAAATACAAACTGTAACTAATCATGACTCCACAAGAATGGCCCTTCTCTCCATTAACACACAGAGCACTTGTTTGGATTGGCAAATTACCCTGTGACTAACCTTCCAAAGCCCTAGAGTACTACCCTACTGGAGACTTTAAAAAAAGTTACAACCATTACTCTTCCATTCTAAAAGATGTCCACAAAGTAATTGTGGTGATCACAGGTAGTCACAGGTTAAGCTGACCTCTTATTGGTGCAGGCTGTGGTACAGGTCCTACCTGTAGCATATTGAAAGTCATTTGAGTGACCTGATCGGTTTTCCCAGTTTCACCAATAAACAAGTCAAATAAGCCTGACTAAAGTGGTAAGAAAAGCAAAATCCACAATACTTCTGATGTTAAGTGCATTTAACTATGTTACTTCATTAAATCATTAATTCAAATGGAAAATGACCACAGAATGACACTTCTAGTTAACATGTTAGCAAAACCAATACTTTTGTGTCACTCCCCTTGCATCCTCCACCAAGGAAAAATCAGAACTAAAGAGAAAAGAAACGGTTAAGCTGTTCTTTACTGAAAAAGCATAAGAAACTTCAAGCTGCCCGTGAAAAAAAGCCACAACCTCAGAAGTTCAGAGAATTGGCTACTGCAGCTAATACCAGCATAGCTACAGAACTGCACACCGTGAGCCCCAGGAACTCTGAAGGTGCCCAAGTGAGGGAGAATACGAACTAAGAAGTTTTGTTACGCACCACATTTCCACCTGATGCTTGATTATCTGTCTAGGAAGGAAAAAAATATATTTATTTTGTCCATAAAGAACTAGCATCCTTTCTCAACCTCAGGGACTTGGCAGTTTGTGGACTGAATGGAAACATTACATACACTTCTGGAATACATCACCTCATCTACTGTGGGACAGTGTTGAAATTAAAGCCTGGTGAAAACTAGGTCAAGCATTCTGTGCTAAAAACAAAATCCTTTTCCTTCAAGAGAAGCAAAGCAACAGCAACAATACTTATATATTTTAGAAGAGCACTCATACAGCTGGGAATATCTTGGCATATCACATTGGATGAACAGGTGAAAGTGTCTAACATCAAAATTCATACATCTTGACAACATCAGCTCTCAGCAGCCACCCCGTGTTTCAGCATCTGATACAAAAGGCAAACAGTTGCTTGTTTTGGCTCACACAGAAATTATTTAGAAGAGTTGTTTCAGCATCTCCCTGTCACTTCTCCTGGTTACATTGCCAGATTTGTGCCAGGGTTTTGGGGGAAGGAGGAAAGGACAAGCATACTAGAAGAAAGCCTGCTGAAGTAATGGAACAGAACGGTGTAGAGCCACATCACAAACCTGGGAGCTATTAAGTGACCTAGCACATCCACGCTCAGCAACCTTACCCAACCCAATGCCACTATAGCGTTAGGACATGTACGGTAGTACTTTGAACCATAGAACTAGGAGCTGTAGAATATACCTGCTGACCTGTTTAAATTGGTTGTAGATTACTTTGCTGACTTCATCAGAAGGCTGAACTTTTCCAGCAAGCAGTGAAGAAAGCATGTTACCCAGGGTAACCATGCCCAAAATCACCCTGGGGAAGGAGAGAGAGAAGAATAAACAACATAAAAGCCTCAGGTGTTCCTGTAGATAAAAGCATCAGCTCTCAGCCAGCCTGGAGAAGTCAGTTCAATTGCTTCATGATATAAAGGAACATTAGTGATGGCGGACTTGGATTCTTTGCCTCTGCAGGAGGCACAGTCCAGTTCTCAGAAGTTCTGGAGCCTCACACAGAAGCCAGCAGGGCGCCTGGCCCTTCTGAACATCAGGCACTTTGTATCTCTAGTCCTTGCAACTACAGAGTTTCTTGCAATCCAAGAGAACTTTTGAAAAGCACAACTTCACTGTTTCAACCTCTCATCTCTTTATAAGGGGTCACTACAACATTGCACTATAATGCAGTGTTCTGAAGAAACTGAGTAAAAGCTGTGGTGGAGATGGATAGGTTTGGGGTTGTCTGTTTTAAACATGAATTTTTGCTTTGTTAAGTTAAACAGCTATTATAAAAAACACTGAAATTATCCTGTAGAAACTCAGCAAGTATATCATAATAATCATTAGAAGCTTATTATGTGAAGGGCAGGACAGTCTGGGCATGACGACATATTAAGTCCAGTACTGGTGTGTTTACGGTAGCATTTCTGAACTGTGTTACTGTAACTGAAGAAAGATGAGTGACAGGATATTATACTTCTTGTAACCATTTAAAAGACATCCCTTGAGACCTGGTGAAGGAAGTGATACATACAGATGAATATATGTGGACAGATGAATATATGTGGACATACCCAGATTCATCAACAACTGGTACCTGGTCGAATCCCTTCTCCCGGAGAATTTCAATAGTCTTTGCACAGGTAACAGTTGGAAGCACAGTCAGGGGAGCAGAGAGGCTTAGTTCCTGAACACTGATGTTCCACCACCTGCGGATGAAACAAAAAACAAACCCATGCAAGTCTTATGGAGAGAACAAAACCAGTCATTCATGTACAGTGGCCTTCAACACTACAGGGATGACAAAAGGCTGCAAGGAAGAGTCAGGATTCAGCCAGAGTCAGCAAAGCTTCAAGGCTTTCAAGTTTTTTCCCCAATATCAGGAAGTCACTGTAGTGTGAGAAGGCTGTAAGACCAGAAGTCTTCCTCATTTCATCTACTTCCTAAGATTACAGATAGTGGAGAGTACTAATTTCCCTCGTTTCATTATTTCAGCCTTAAAGTTTGTGCTCCTACTCCAAGAGCCAGCCATATTTAGAGTCATTATAGGTACCAGTTTAGGGAAGATCCCGTCCACCTATGTAGACGCACAGCACTTTGCTCTCAGGAACTGTGATCTCAGAAGGGCTCTCTGTAAACTACTTTTGCATTCCAGATACAACCCTTTTCATTAAAATAAAAAAATAAACAAATAAAAATCATCAAGTACCAAGTTTTCCTTTGCTGCCATGCAACTCAAAGAAGGATATCAAACAATTTAAGCAGATTTGATTAATAGCTGCAATTATACATCAACACAATAGCAGAAATATTAGCTAAATCAAAGGTAGTGTAAACTGAAATGAGCTTTAAACTAGCAACTGCCATAAAGTCGATTGAATAGACTCTTGAAAATCCAAATGGATCTGACATGCTTACCAAGGTTTTTTCCCAAGATCTTCTTCTTTCATGAACCCTTTCTGAATCATCCATTTATCACTCAAGAACTTGGACCTGGAAAGCATCAGGAAGTGAAAAGCTCATTAGCAGGCTGAACATCTGCGAACTTATAGTACAGAAAGGCAACTGTTTTCAGCTCACTTCCACTAACAACTAAAGTGGAATGGAAAATATATTGCCATTTGCCATCCAACCTTATGACATTGGGACCTTCTCCAACCCAGGGATATTGAGAAGAAAGAGGAATCCCATCAGAAACACAGTTTCAAGTACATAAGTCCCTTGCAATATGATAGACACACAGCCTGGAACGGCAAAGTGCCAACCTGTACTCAAGTAAGGTCTGTCTCAGTTTCTAGTTGTGTTGGATGCAACAGAACTCAGGAAACACAACTAAAACCATCATGTTTTGGGATATATTTCAGTGTGGTAGGGCAGACACTTCTCAGCACAGCTCAAAGCCCTCACACTTCCACCTGTAAACTCACTCCAACATTGGCTGCTGCTACAATAGTGCTGTGTTCTGCTGTGGATGCAGGCAGAAAGAGCAGACAGCCTTACAGGATCCTTCCAGTAATGGGATAATACCCATGGTAAACAGTGAAAGCAAGCTTTTTCCTGTGATAGATCCTATCCAGTGATGGTCATACACTGAAGCCAGACATAAGGAGTGGCTCAGCTTGCTGAGGCCTAAGCTCATTTCTACTCCATGTCATATCCTTTCTAGCTACCTCAGAAGTTGTGTCCAAAACACATTCCTTGCTTGGGTAATTGGGTACTGTAAGAAATAGGTATTCAACTCGCTGCTGTTGTAAGGAGGTCTGAAGGACTGCCTCACCCTTTTCCCAGACAGAAAGCAAGCAGGTTCTTACATATAGTTCCTGATAGAGTCAGGGAGGATAACAACACATTTCTGACCTTCCTTCAGCTCTTTGGCTGCCTTCACAGCTACAGACATGGCACTGCCTGAGCTGCCACCTGCCAAAATGCAGATCAGAGACAAAACTGTCAAACTGTAAGTGAAATGAGAAAGAATGAGAGGAGGAGAGACCACAGAGGAGCCCAGGGTGAGGAAGACAGCTTCTGAAGAGGCAGAAGGTCTCCCTGACCTGCACAAGGCTTCAGCCTCCCACATACTATCAGAGAAACCCAAAGGATTCGCATCTGCTCTTACCACACAGCAGTCCTTCCTCTCGGATCAGCATGCGTGCTAAAGCAAACGATTCCTCATCATTGCTCTTGTACCACTGGTCCACTGTCTGGGAAGGGGCAGGAAGGCAGAAACAAGGGTATATTTAAATGAGGAAGGCTAGGGGAGCTACACAACTAGTGTGAATTCAACCCATGCTCTTTGAGGTAACAGCTGCCCTACTGAGCCATAGTCATGTGCCTGGGTTTCCATCCTCCAAATGCCAAGTGGTTTTTTTTGCTAAGGTAAGCTGATCACATTAACACAACAGACTCCTTATTGAAACCTTGCTGTGAGAACAGGCTGTGGTGAGGCAGACACAAAGAGCATCAGTTTCCTCCCCTCTCAGAGGGCTTCCCAGGAACACAAGTGCTGCTCACAACATAGTCATACCACTTTTGGCCATGAGGGGTTGGGGTGCTCTGTTGGCTGGTTCTGGTTTGGGGTTTTGGGTTTTTTTATTTGCTTGACTGGGCTGGGTTTGGGGGGAAAAAAAAAAAAAAAGAAAAAAAAAAAAAAGAAAGGTTCTGTGTTTGAAGAAAGGTTCATCTGCTCACAGCATTTGTAAACTAAATGTGGCCAGTGCAGAAGCTTTCCAAGGACTTTTGTTGATGGAAAGAACGAGAATAGTTCCGTCTGCTAGCCTTCAACTTTCAGCTCAAAGAAATATCTCCCCAAGTTTTTCTTTCACCTTTCACCTCACTTCTGCATCCCAAGAGAGGACAAAGGGCAGTAAACCAAGAAGCATGACTTACAGATCTATCCAACACTGTGGGGACAAAATCGTATCCAATTCCTTCCACTTCATACATTGTCTTGTCAGTCTTGTTCAGTTCTTCTGGTGTGGCAAGGATGGAGCCTTCAGGATCAACACCTATAATCTGAAGAAGCAGTTTTCATTTCGGCTACCATGACACACTGCTGTTGAGAGCACAGCTATTTACTCATGAGTGCTGGCCTCTTTACAGCTGTTTGTGTCACACTGGCTACACACACAGACAAGCTAACAGTAAGCTAGTCTCCTATTCATTTCTTCCTGGCAACATTCACCTCCCCTGTGAGCAAAATGCTTTGCTGCTTCTGGCCTTTTGGCAATCCATCCCGTCTCCTCAGGCTGTGGACACTAAGTGAGGGGCACCATTTATTTTACATGGGCTTTGCTTGGTTTAAACAGAAGACAGGGTTTCTGTGAAACAAGATTATTCTTATTCACATGTCAGGCATCACTGCAGCCAATACATTTGTGACAAGTGTAAGCAGGTAAGTATTATTTTGTTTACCACTCACTGTCTGTGTAGTCAAATATTCACAATTGAAACACAATACCAACTTCTGTGAGGAAATGTAACATAGCACACACACAGGTTGGTGTGTGCGGAGAAAATTTCACTGGGTAGAACCTGGGTAGCTCCAGACAAGTTAGTGGAGGCACAGACTGAAAGGAAACACAAAACCGCAATACACACCAGTGAAGGAAGTTTCTCAGACACCCCATGAAGGGATTTAAGGGCAAGTTTTCATCTGCTGAGCCAAACCTGAACTCTGGTCACCAGTGAGACTGGCCCATGATGGTTTCAGTCTTTCTCTGCTGTTTAGAACTACCTTATAACCAAGAACAACCAAGAGCCCCAGAGCAGGCTTGCAAGGAATGGGATGGGCCAAGTGGAGCAGTTTGGGGTTCACCCCACTAAAAAGAAATGCTTTAGGTTTGCCACTTACTTTGCAACCTGGACATTTCTCCTTTAGCTTTCTGGAGATGCCAGTGATAGTACCTCCTGTGCCAGCCGTAGCCACCAGCATGTCTATTTTTCCTGTTTAAGGATAGAAAGCAGTTGTAAAATCTCTCCCAGAATCACAGAACCATAGAACAGCTTGGGTTGGAAAGTATCTTAAAGACCATCTAGTTCCAACCGCCCTGCCATGGGTGAGGTTGCTCAAAGCCCCATCCAACCCTGAACACTTCCAGGGAAGAATGAGGGATTAAAACCCCACTTACCTCAAGTATTGACTTTCTTCATCAAAATGCAAAAAGTGTCAGAAAAAGCTCTTTGCTTCCTGAGAGCTGTTATGAGACCTACCTTGAGACCACCTTGCTCAACCCTTATTTACTTCAGCAGTGGTTTTGAAATGTCCATTCAGTAGCCTGGCAAGACACCAATTTGTGGTACTCTGGACACAGAGGGAGGTGGCTCATATGGCTGACACCTGTACTTTTCCTGTTACTGTATTTGCTGATACAGATGATTAATTTTCTAACTTAAAATGGGCAGCCCGTTATAGTAGTTAGTATACCGAATGAGTGCCAAGAGCGTGGGATAGGCACCACTTGAGAGAACTGTTAACTACTTTTTCATTTCCATGTGATAAAGACTGTTTTGGTCACTGTCATGAGCACTATTTTATGAGACAGATCAGTAGCCTCTTACATGACTTCATTCTACTACCTATGGCAAACGCCTACAGAGTAGGCTGTGACCTATTCGTCACATGAATGCCTCCAACAGCTCTCAAGCAAAACCCTCAGCTGTGTGTTAGCCCAGCTAAAGCTCTCTGCTGCCACACTTCAACCACTTCTGATACTCCAACTCAGCTGCCTAGAGCTAACATTGAAGTGACCCCTGCAGGGTAAAAAGGTCTTACTGGTGACATATGCAACACAGAGCAATTTGTACTCTTGTACTCTTGAGGACTCCTAAGTGAAGAAGCTTCCAGTGTAGTGGAGTATTTGGTCTGAGACTGTACCTATGTTTGTATTTCTGAGCACAGAAAAATTACTTAATTCACACCAGTTTACCTATGGCTGGTTTGGTGTTGTTTTTTTTTTTTAATAAGATAACTTAGGCATCCTTAAGGAGTCAAAAAACTAAAGCACCCTTCTTTAATGGGACAAAAAAAAAAAATCACTACTACAACTACTTAAATAAGGTAATTCTTTAATGACACTCAGCATATGTATGGGATTTGCTGTATCAAAATCCATGCATTTGTCATCCACCTCAGGTCTCATTCTCCAAGTACCTAACAATAAGAGACTACTAGGGACCCACTGAAGAGTAAACATACCTTCACACTGCTGCAGGATCTCTTCGGCTGTGGTGTCATAATGTGCCAAGGGGTTGCTGGCATTACGATACTATATTGAAAGACAAAATAGTCATTAAGTAGACCAGAAAGACAAAAATCACACTGTGAGGCATTTCAAAAACATGGCAAAATTCCCCAAGCCCCACGACAGCTACACATACCCTTCCCAGACCATTTCCTTATCTATTATCTGGACCTAGGCAGAATGCCTGAGGGGAGATACAACCTTAGTAAGCGACCTAACTTAAGAGTAGTTCTAAGGTGCCAGCACCCTCTAATGCCATGATCAGTCCTGTCTGTGGGACAGTTTCTTTTAGGAACATTATGACCCTTGTGCCCATTCTTCTGCAAAGGAGTGCCAATTCAGCAGCAAAAGCCATCCGTGTTTTACAGTTTCTGCAAACATAGGCTCGTTGCTGCCCTCTAATGACTATAAAAGCTTGCTACCCCACAGCATAGTGATTGGATCAACTACAGTTCCAGACCTCAGACATCTTTTCCTCCAGACACACTTAGGGTGTTCAACAGTCAATCAAGGGCACTAAGGAACAATGGTGCAATGCCTCCTCCCATGCTATGCCTGATGCCTTAGCTCTTACCTGGTCTAGTATGTGTGCATTGGGGATTTCATTTTTCAGTCTCCATGCTACTCCCACATGAGATTCAGGAGAATCAAACCTAGCAGTAGTTGGGGTCCTCACAATCTCAGCACCCAGCGCTCTCAAGACATCCACCTGTAGCAAATAAAGGTGGTCACAATCCCAGAAAACACTCTCCCAGCACAGAGACTTCCCTAGGATACAAGGGAAAAAAAACATCTTCCTTTTTGCCTGGTCTGCAATAGCTTCCTTAGGAGTTCTCCTAAACCCCAGCCTCCCATCGCTGAGCCATGAGTCCAAATCCTTAAGGTCACTTGATCTTAAAAAAGCTTTACTGGGAAGATAGATGTCAAATCTCTGCCTCTATCCTAGGCCTTCAAGCCTGTAGGGACTATTACTACATATTGAGAAGCCTTACTGAGGCAAAACACCATCTCCTCTCATGCTGGTCACGTATGTTCCGCATTCCAACAGTGCTGTTAGCCCAGTATTTTAAGTGTAAATTATGTATATGTACCCCATGCTTTAGACACAGGCAGCAAAGGAAATCCTCCAGGACCCTATGCACCACTCAGCTGCTACACGGGCAAGAAAGTTGACAACACTGAGCTAAGGCAAAGCCTGTCTTCAGAGAGGAGGGAGGCCCATGATGCTGCGTACCATCAATGGCCATATGCAGTACCTCTCCTTCCACAGCAGGTAAAAGCAAACAATAGGTATAGACCTTCAGGAGACGTTGTTCTTATTTGTGTCACCGCCTTTCAGTTGGAACACTGGAAGTGTTTGAATGGAGATAAGCAGTTTTACTGACGATATGCTGCCTCAACTATGAGACACATGAGATCTCTACTCTACTCTCATCTCTTGTTTTGGCTGCAGGTCTAGCACCACAGGACAGGGCTTGGTCTAGAGCTAGACATTTTATGCTTTCCACAGTGAAGGTAAGTGGGCATTACTCAGGCAGCTTTTCCTTCCCCTTTGTTTTGTGGTGACACAACTCAGATGCTTGCCAGTACCACTTAGTGTAGCCTGAGGATCAAAACAGGCTCTCTCACAGCCTTGGTCAGCCCAGTGTGGAACAGAACATTCAAAGCTTCAGCATTGCTTTCCTTCAACCTCCTTTGCTCAGTGACAGAGAGCTAACCCAGGGACAGGTAGTCACTTCAATGGGCTAAGTAAATCTCAAGTTCTTTTGACATTTGTATTTAAAACAGCTATGACAGTTTTCAAAGTGACAGTGCTGTGGGGATGGGTCTTAGGGACATTTTCCGTCCATGGCTAGCCAGCCTGGATTTCTCTGGGCTCTGGCAACAGCCCCTCAGCAGAGTTGAGAGACCAAATGCCTAAACCTTGGTTGCTAAAGCCACAGCACTTGTCTGTACCAAGAGCTCTGCAAGTGCAAACATGCTTATTTTTAAATTCTTGAAAATAAAAACAGATGTGACCTTCTCCATGCTCATTTTCTCTGGCATCACAATGATACAGCGGTAACCCTTCACTGCTGCAGCCAAGGCCAGCCCGATTCCTGCAAGCAAAAACACGTAAAGCATTCAGTGAGGAGCAACAAAGAGCAAAAACCACAATGCTAGCTTTGGCATGCCCTGGCTTTAATCAGATTTTCACCAGAGGCTTGAGTACAGTGTCTCTAGAGGGGTGGCAAAGGGAATGTTTCTGGTTATTAGGAAGAACTGGATTTACAGATGCTGCTAGTTCTTTGAGGATCACAACCAACTTAAGTTTAGCCAAGGGTGGGGAAACTTGACATGCACAAAGTGCTAGTTTTAACACATGCATATCATCACCTTTTTCCTGTCTCAGCTACTTCATTTGGGAAAGGAATAAGCTTTAAGCTAAAGAAGACTAGAGCAATCATTTTGATACTGTCAGAAGAGCATTAGAGACCCATTTCTGCATTAAATCCCTGAACTGCAATGTGCTGAAACTAAGTCCTTTCTGAAAAGATGTGATTTAGATGCTGTTTGTGATTGAGGCTCTAATGCACTGCCTTGACTTGCTACCACAGTGAAGTACCTTGACAGTTAGAGTCAGATACCTCATTTCTACTCTAAAAATCTGCACCTCCAGCCTGATTTCTGCCTTCTAGCTTGTCATTGTCTGCCTACCTGAAGAGATAAGCCAAAACTGCCTCCCCCATAGAAAAGAAGCTTACGCTTGTGATCAGATAACCTTTCTTCTGGATAAGCTAAACAGATCAAGTTAGTTGATGTGTCTGAGGTCAGACTGCTCCCCTGCTGTTTTGGGTACCAGGCACAATACCAACACATGCCCACGACAATGCCTCACAAGCACTTCACCCCACACAGAGACCTGCTTGTTCAAAGCTGGCTCTGTTTCTAGATCATGCTGGATTGATTAGGAGTGAGGAAAAAAATAGTCTTTAACTGTTCCTGTAAGAGAAGAATAACTTATACCTCAAGTAAATCAAGTAGTGTTTAAATACCAGTGGGGTGAACCCAAACAAACTTTTCCCAGCATATTACAGATAAATAAGGATGCCAAAAAAACAAACAAACAAACAAAAAAACCCAAAAAAGACAGCAAAGGCCTCACTAAGGCTGAAGCCATCCAGCACTTCCCCTCTTTCCCTTACGGTCTGTGATGAAGAAAGTATTTTGAGACCTGAACTCTAACACTTTGTAGGTTCTGCTACTGACCTGCAAATGGAGCAAACATCAAAACTGGACTTGGCTGAGGGAGAAATGGAATGCAGAGAGGACAAAAATATAATATGTTAGCTCTCACATTTAACATACTCAGTAGCTCTGAGCACTTCTCTAGAACAAAAGCCAGTTCTTTCAGCTTACTGTCTGCCCTGGTCTTTGCTTTTACATGAAAAGACAGCTTTCTGAAGTAATTGTCTTGTATCTTCTTCAGTTCTGCCTTCTTTCTTTTGGATTCTGTGGCAAGGAGAATCATGTATCACATATAGACCCAGAAAGCAGGATGTCACAGTATGACCTCAGAAGGGGAAGATTCAGATTCATACCAGTCTCTTGGTGTTTTTTTCCCCAATAATTTCAGTCCGACTTTAATTTCTGAATAGGGCCTAAATATCCTAGTGAATCTGGCCTAACACTTCTTCTATTTTAAAGCAAAGAGCCCCTGCAAATTGAGCAGGTCTCATTCCCACCTGCATAGTCTGGTCAGCATAGGACATTGCAGAACTGTTCCTTGTGTGAGATGGAAGAGGCACTAATCCCTACACCATGTGGGCAGGAAGAGATTCTCTTTCTTCCTTGCACAGGCAGCCTCCATGCTCCAATCTCAAGCCTTGCCTCTTCCAGGAAAACCATCACAGCATTTTCCCCCCACATTTTGCTAAGGTGTCTCCATTCCCTACCTGTGTTTCCAGAGGTTGGCTCTATGATTGTGTCCCCAGGCTTCAAGATCCCAGCCTTCTCAGCATCCTCTACCATCCTCAGGCTGACACGGTCCTTCACACTGCCCCCAGCATTGAAGAACTCACATTTTGCCACTGGAAACAAAGAAACCAAGCAGAGTGCTTAAACAACAGTAATTTGCTAAATAGACTACTTATGCCCAAAATATCTGCAAGAGCAACAATGTTAACATGTCTGTCCAATTCACCTCCCTGCTTTACAACACCAGAGATGGGGATTCTGTTCACAGCATCTCCACTATTATGAGTCACAACAACATGGGAAGTTTGGAACTTGACGCTGGCCACAGAAGCCAAGAACTCATATTCTGTCAGCCTCCTCAAAATATAATCTCTCCTTTCATCTTTACTCATTATTACAGTCCAGTCATTAAGATAAAAAGCCCTGGGGCTCTTCTGGTGCAATAGCATGGGGGAAGAAAATTCCTCTTCCCCTGTGCATTCTTCAGCCAAAGAGTTTCTGGTCAAACGGGAAGTTTCTCCCCTTGTTCATCCTACGCTTTCATTTCAGTACTCCCAGCACAAATCCCTTCAATGGTGCTAAATGCCACCTTTCAGGATTCTGATTGGAGCCTTCAGATATCTCCAGCATAGTTGGGTTTAAACAAACAAATGAACCATTCACTGACAGTTTCATTCCTTTAATTGTTTTCTGTGATCTTCAGTGACAACTGCAGATCTGCATTTTACACACTGATGAATACTCTGAATATAAGAAGCAGTCAAAAACTTCATACATTTGATTTTCTGCCTGCAGCAGTACTCACAGAGTTCACACTTGAGCCCGTACTGCTTCCCAATCTTGTTGATTCGCACCAGAGGTGTATTGCCAACTTTATCCAGGATGCTTGGCAGGATTTTCAGAGGCTCTGGCCTGGTACACACACAAACAAAGTCAGTGTATTCACAGAAGGGGCCACAGGCAGGTCACACAAAAGTAACACAGCATTTCCAATGCTTTTTCAACCTGCCTTCTAGTTTAAAAGAATGTCCACTGGATACAAATTCACAAAACATCCAGTCCTTAATCCAAAACAAGGATAAACCAGACATCAAGCCAAGTGCTGAGGCAAGAATTAAGCATTCTGTACTTCCTCATGGCATGAAGTAGCTTACTGCTCAGAGGCAGGTTTTTTACAAGCAAAAGGCACTTACAGTGCAATCTTTCATCACGTCAGTGTACTGCTTGCCAGGTTACTTAAAGTAAGTTAATTCTAGACCATGTAGTTTTACATTTTTGGTGCAAGGCCCCTTGTATGCTTAATCTGGGTTCTTAGTTTTGCTTATACATGGAAATAAAAAAGCACCAGTGTACAGGCTAAACAGCATCAATTTAAATCAGTCATCTTTTGTTAAATCCACATAGCTCTGAGGGGACCTGGATTAGTGAAGCACTGAAAATCAGCAAATAAATGTAATACTTACAGAGTAGTATGACGATGGGGAGAGGCAGAGAGGGGTTGCCCAAGCTTCCACGTACATTTGCTAGGTGTATCAGGGCGGATCCACTCCCTTTCCTTCTCATTAGCTTTGCAGTTCCCATTGTTCCTCTCACCAGAGACACAGTTTTTGCCAGGTGTATGAGGGCATGAATTTGTATCTGGCTTCTCCTGCGAAGGAACCGTAGGCATTTCATCCTTGGGGAGGGGGGAAAAAATAAAATGAAATAAAAGAAGGGGAGAGTAATTCATAAGCCCTGCTATAAACAACGTCAGAGCATCCTTTGAGGCTATCAAAGTTACTTAAATTCTGCACCATGAGAAATCCCCATTCACATCACTGGCCCCCCTAAAATAGCTAAAAATCATTTTACTAATAGGGAGTCCTTATTCTCTTTTCTGTCTGTCCACCAACATATCTATTTCCAGCCTAGTGTTTCAGCATGCAGTATTTCTGAGGGAAGCCTGAACAGTAACTACCCTGGTGGCAATTTTCAAGAGTAATGTATTGCCTATAAGCTAAAAGGGGCAATGGCAACAAGTAGTTTTTAACACCCAAGAGGAGGTACTGGCACTGACTACAAGAGGTCCTGCCACTGTACCCGAGACCCAGGTATTAGCGGGGAAAGCATAGTACGTCTCAGTTACATGAATCCAAGCCTCAAGTGTCCCAGTCTTGGTTTTCTTTTACATGAAAAAGGTCACAACAAATGGGTATTTTCATGGTCAGTTGATGTTTCTGTCGTACTGTGAAGATGGGAAAGCATTTCAGCATAGTTTTGATTTGCCAAATCCTCATCACCAAAACAAGAATCTTAACACTGCACCGCTGAGTGCAAAAGCTGTACACAGTGCCCTACATTAAGATAACTTAAACACACTGAAGCACGTGCTTGCTGTAACTGCCCTCCATAAATATCAAGAAAAGAGGACAGCCCTCCCACACCGCAAAGCAGCTCTCTGAAATAAAACCTCCCCATTCCAAACAGAGAGGAACACAGAAAGACTACTTGGTGACTAGTTAGAAAACGGTGCCAGAAGATTCTGCATTGCTACTTGTGGTCATGAAAGGAGAACTCTTCCAGAAAGGCCTCTGGCTTCAACAGCACCTACCTCCAGAGCATTCCAGCAAAAAAAATAAAAATAAAAACAAATATAAAAATCCCTCTGAAAACAGATAGCACTTTCCCAAATTCTGGAGACAGAAAGACAGGCAAACAATATTTCCCAAAGACCAATGAGTACCTTAGGCGGAAAAAAGGGCCTTTCGAATATCAACTTCTCCATGTTGCTCAGTGAAGGTGATGGAGCAGTAGACTGGACTTTCTTCAGAAGACTGAGTACTGTGGGTCACGAGACTGGAACCCTCTTCAAAGCTGCAGATCATGCAAGTTAGGGAAAAAAAAAAAGATCAGAACAAACAAACAATCAGGAAACAGTCTCTCCTAGGGGCAAATAACGCCTTTCACTCTCATAGGGAAAAAAATAAGCTGCAAAACAAAGTGAAAGTGATCTGTACAAACAGGATTAAAAAACATAACAATCATGCAGCAGAGGTATTATACAAGATCAATAGAGGGTCTCCTGATTATGCTCTTCTCCTATTACCTAATCTTCTCTCTGCCTTGCCCTCCACAGCTCAGATCCAGGGAAGTATGCAAAAAACAAAATCTCTATTGGACTGACTACAGTTCCATAAGCTTGAAAGCCACATAAAGCAGTAGCAAATACCCCAGTTCACAAGATATGTACTTCTAGAGACATGAGGGGTGAAAGTGGTTTGTGGTGCTATCACCAAAAGACCCTGTATACATCTTAGGAAATTACTTCATACAGGAACACTTTCAGAGGCGCCTCTACCCTTGCAAAGACCAAAATCTCACAAGTTCCTACCCAAACTGAGTTATTGTTGCATGCACATATATAGTGATGCTGAATATAACACAAACAGCAAATATTCCAATCAAAATAAAGCAAGGAAACCTTCTATCAGGCTTCGTGTTTCAGAAATTAGCAAATATAAAACACAAGCAGTGATTTCATTTCTCCTAGCCCTGCCAGTTCATACAGCCTGCCTGCTTCCTTTCCACTGAAGACGAAGACCTGGCTGAAGACTTGGAAAGTGTAGTGGTTTTCCCCTAATAGTTGTTTTTCTCATCACCTTTGTGCAGCAAGATTCATGTCTTTCCACTGCTAAATTGCACTAGGCCTGGAAATGGTCCCTGGCCTCATCTTCCTTCTTCTGACAAGTGCACACAAACCAGACACAGCTTAGATCAGGCAGAGTGGATGGTTTGGTGACACACGTAAATCACGGGACCACTGAACTTCAGCATTTGATCCTGCAAGTTAATATGCACCAATAACCACTACTACCTTATGCACACCAATTCCTTTCTTTCATGCTGATTTTAACAAAATGACTAAGGCATTTATATTGCCCTCCTTTAGGAACAAAAAGCCTCTGAAAATGCCAGCTTTCCAGACTAAGGCTTGAAATAATTCTCCTTCTGGATATAAACACTTCCACACCACCAAAATGACACAATTCTACTGTATTTAGGTTAATACATGCCCAATAGCCAAGGTGGACTACATCCTGACCTAGACTACTGACCAGGACTAGACTGAGAGACAACAAGCCCAAGAAAACTAACATTCCATAAATATGCATCATCTAATACCAACCAGTCTTTATTTCTTTGTTGCTAGAAATTGGCTTACTTCTACTTCCAGAGTGAAACCCAGTCTTCATTTCTATTTCTAGAAGGTGTCTGGTTCACAGTTCAGAATATCAACACTTTTTTTTTAGTAAAGAAAAAATACTGAAGAAATATCAAGGCTTCCTATGAGCCACATCCATATACTCCTTCAGACAGCTGACATAGGCACCAACTGCCTCTGCTCACAGGTAACACTGACAGTATTTACAAAGTCTGCCTCGTAGGGCTACCTTGCTGCCAAAGGATCAAACCATTTCAACATGCAGGAAGAAAGCAGCAAGGAGTTATAGGCAGGAAACAGCAGATTTTGTTCATCTTCTAGGTTCTTGTAAAGTAGAGAAGGTTTAGGTAAAACAGAAACTTCTAGGTTTCTCACAAAAACTTTAAAAGCTTTAAGTCACCAGTGTCCTTCAATGGGGCCAAAAAAATGAGGAGAAAGGGGGAGAAATTTGTTGCAGTAGGTTTAGTGATGAGCAAATTTCAGAGGTTTCAAAAAATAAGTACTTATTCTTGGAATGTGGCTTTCTGAAAGCTGCCTTATGAAGGATTCCCTCTGAACTGGGCAAGACAAAACACCATTTCACTCTCACTTCCTCTATTATAAGGCAAAACACCCACAATCCACTAACGACACCCACTGCCTCTTGAACTAGGAACAGCAGAAACAGGAAAAGCTGTATTTATTCTCTTCAACTAAGATGTGAGATTCTCTCATGTTTAGAATGGCAATAAAAAGCTTCAATAATGGGGCTAGAATTCTGAACAAAAGTGAGGAGAAAGAGAAAAAGCTACCACAAGCTTTGTCAATAAAAATCCTGTCTCCAGATGCTAACCTTAAGCAGCATCATTCACTGGAAGGAACACAAGCTTCTGTTCAATAAATCCTTTCAAATAATTTTATTAGGCATTATTTAAATAACTCCACACCCACCCAGCATAAAGTAAATAGGTAAGCATACATACATTTATTAAGCCAGATTTTAATCATGCTAGTCAATGAGTCCCAGCTATGGTCAACCTAGTATCTTATGGTTTTGAATCCTAGGACAGATTCAGTTGTTCTCCAAGGGGAATTCTCACTACAGCACTCAACAGACAGAAAAGCATCTGCAATGGCTTACAGTTATACCTAAGAAACAGGTCAAGAGACCAAGAGTGACCTGTCATGTTCAGAACCAACAGGAAGACTTCAGATCTTCGAGCTCCTTCAGTGCTACTGATGAACTTCCTGACACACCACCCACAACATTCAACTGGAGCTTACAGCCCTAGATGATGTAACCAGCAAATTTGGAGGAACAGGTGGCCAGTCTAGGATATCCATATTCCCCCCATGATCCTGCCCACAGGCCCAAATCAAGCCATAGGAAGCTGGTGCATGTTTCTACTGGGGAGACCTTTGGGGAACAAAGGAAAGGGGGTGAGCAGAAATCACTAAAACAGAAGCTAACAGCAACTTCTTTGCTAGCCTGACCCTCTCCTCGGTCTTCCTTCTGGAGATGCAGACTGGGGGGACAGGACAGAAGAATGGCAATTCTGCTTTTCTAACTGCAACTGAGAGCCACTCAGAAGAGTTTGAGGGAGAGAAGCTGAAGGAAGAGTTGCCCATTTTCAGGAAATAAATTCTGCTGTAAATTTTAATTTTTTATTTTTTACTTTAAGTTTGCTGCAAAAAGGAATGCTCCCGTAACTAGCTGGGGGTGTGTGCAGCGTCTAACTAGAAAAGCCTCAGTAACTTCTGGCATGAAACTTGATTTTTCTGCCTTGTGCTCTGCAGAAAGACAATTTACAGAGTCATTTAAACATAAGTCACAAAGGGAATTGAGACATAGACAGATACGAGATCCGGAAAGCCTCATGGTCAAGGGTCACATCTCTGGATCCATCTCCACAGCAAACCCAAGACCTAAACTATTTCTCAACTCCTACAGAGCACAACTGAAGGCCAGTGAGTGAAATTAATCCTCAAATGGCTTGAGCTGAACTCACTCCATAGATATGAGGAGCTATGGTTTCTAAGGTTTTTTACAGTGTATGTCAGCACTAATGCAGATGCATGCAAGAACCTAATTAACCTGAGTCTTGCCTGAAGCAGACACGAAGCTATCCAAAAGGCACATGTAAAAGATGAATCAGAGAGATGCCCCAAGGGCTGACTACTCAGCGAGAGAGGAGATTATGTTCCATTATGCTGCGGCCTGACAGTGGGCAACTTTGATGTTAAGCAGGTACTTTACTCTGTGAACAAGTAAACCACTACAAACCAGTTATTCTGCTCATTCTGAGTATCACAGGGTCTTAGAGAGCTTTAGGATCTTTACAGGTTACCAGAGGTAGCAGGACCCATCCAGCTGTTCAGAAACATCACAGTTATAAGTGATTCAGGAGGCAGTCAGACATTTGGGGTTTGTTTGTTTGTTTGTTGGTTAGTTGAGTTTTTGTGCGAGTGTGTGTGTGTGTGTGTCCATTCCCTTGCTACTTCCTCAGTGGCAGGCAGCACCTGTGTCAGGAGACATCAAGTGACCCGAAGTAACCAGGTTATCTATTAACACTGTGGGTCTAGGAAGAGATCCTTCAAGAATCGAAAGTCTTATTTCCATTTTCTCTACAGAGTAGATGAGGGAAGCTGTGCATGCAGCCCTTACACAGGTGTCTTCTGACATCCCTATTTCCTGAGCTCATTTCAAACCTGTCTGGACTCACCTGGTAAGTCTTCTAAGTGAAGACTGATGTCTCCAAGGAGCAAAACAGCATTAGAGAAAAGACCACAGAAAACCTTTATCTGCATTTTTACCTGCTGCAGTCAGAAGCTTGCTTTCTTTCTTTCCCTGCTTCTAATTCCCTCTACTTAGTCAGCACACAAAGATGGACCAACACTACAGCCTGAGCAGTGCACATGATCTGCCAAGCTCACCAAGAACAGGGAGAGAAGCGTTACAGGTAGGGTGGCAGAGGCTCGGTGATTGAACAAGTTGCCCATCATGACAAAAGAGTGAGTTGGAGCTCTGCTCTCAATTTCTGACTAGGACTATGAAATAGGTGGAAGCACAGCTCCCGTTCCCCAGCATTACAGTGCCCCCTTGCAAGGCATCAGATCTTTTGTTAGCCTGCTGGGGACCTCTCATAAAGGCTGGCCAAGAACCACTAGTCACCACTGCCTGGGCAGGAAGCCAGCTTTTTGGCCCATGCAAGTTTTGCGGAAAGGACCAACCGACACCCACTCTGGCTACATCCGTAGAGCTTTTGGCAGGCATCCACACTGCAACCAAGAGCACGGTACACCCTGCTATCTCTGCCCAGTTCCTGTGGGTCTCACATGCAGACAGAAGGCACCTGCCAGTCGCCTGAGTCCAGCCCATCCTGGCAGGCTGATGTGCTGCTAGCACCACGCAAGTGACACACCTGCGCCAGCATGCCTGCTTCAGGACACCAGCTCCCCATGACCCTGGCTACCAACCGCAACTTTGAGAAGTACTGCTCCAGGTCAGTAAAGCAGGCCGGTTAACTCACATGAAGGGGGGGGACGATAGTATACTGAAGAGGTACCAACTAATAACAAGAAGG